TTCTCCTCTTCACAGTAGTCCAAGAATCCGGCCGAATCAGATCGAAAACGGTTAAATTCGGTAGACGTAACTTAGGCAAGGGGCCCTTCCACAGCCGGATCGCCGTCGCCGCCGTTCTCCGGTGAACCATCCGGCGCATCATCTCCTTGGTTTCTCCCGCATGAAGCCCGACCCTAGCCGAATCCTTGAGGGGCAAGGCCTTGTCGACGGTGGAAGCGACCTCATCTTCATCATAACCTGCACCCAAGAACTCACACAACAGATCGGAGGGCGTCGGAGTCGGCGGCGATGACGGCACCGCATCTGTGTCATCATCCCCCTCGTCCTCGTCGGCGTCGACAAGGGCCCAGAACCGGCCCCTCACCTGCCGCCGCTCACCGGAGGGAGCAGGCCGCGACCCCGCCGGGATCCCGGCGGCCGCACTCCCCGTCGCCCCCCTCATCCACCACTCCGGGAGTTTTGTGTCCTCTGCTTTCCCGGTAAATTAGAGTGCGCATATATTGGATGCCATGTAAAAGGTAAAAGGACGCTTGATCTGATTTGTAAGTTAGTTGAAGAGTACGGATCTCAAAGTAAGGCTGGAAGGTTGAGGATAAGAGGTTTCATGTAGCCTGAGCTATAAAGGAACTTTGCATTTTTAGGTGAACGAGTTACTCATGATTTCCACATCTGCACCTAATACTATTTCCAATTGTCCAGATGACGAAATGCTCTTGCCGCTCAAATTATGGTCACCCCGGCAGCAATAAAATCCATATCATGACATTTGGGGTCTGATTTTTGTCGTGTGCTTGATGCATCGTCAGGATCGAAGTTGTGCTCATATGGGACATCAATTAACTCAAAATATTGTTTAAAGTCAATCTATTTTGTTTACTAGCTGCAAAAAAGAAAATCTATTTTGTTTACTTGCTGGTGGAGTCAGACCCAAGTGTCTACATTCTGCGTAATAGAATTCAGCTTAACTATCACATCTAGAACATGAAGGCACGTGTTGCGGCGCCCGTGTATTTTTAAGAAAATGCATTATGAAAGAATATATATATATAGCATACTTACACGTGCAGAGCTTCCAAGCCCTCCATTAGTTGGGGATCCAAGATTCTTAGATCTGATAAAAATCAACATAAACCAGTTAGCAGTAAATTAATAAATACAGTCAATATAGCATATTGGGTGGGAGGGACGGAGAAACTGCGGGAGCTCCTGTTCGGTGTCTTATGCGCCTGAACAGCTCTCTGGCGCCTTTTTTTTTGAGACAAACTCGCAAAGCTTTTATTCACCCGTCACAAATGTTTACAGGGACGAAATCCAAATTTTCTGGGTGACCTAACCAAACATGGCGGCCAAAACCCAGGAATAACGCATGCTTTGCAAGTTTGTGAGCCTCCACATTCGAGGTTCTAAACTCATGATTAATCAAACAAGAAGAAAAAACTCTAGAGTTCTCTGGATCATCAACGTTGTTGAACCGGATCGCCTGGCGCCTGAATGAATGAGATCTCTACTGGGCCGTCCCAGGCGCCTCTCAACGAACAAGTCCATCAACTTGAAAAAATGGAAATGCTCTTGCCGCTCAAATTATGGTCACCCCGGCAGCAATAAAATCCATATCATGACATTTGGGGTCTGATTTTTGTCGTGTGCTTGATGCATCGTCAGGATCGAAGTTGTGCTCATATGGGACATCAATTAACTCAAAATATTGTTTAAAGTCAATCTATTTTGTTTACTAGCTGCAAAAAAGAAAATCTATTTTGTTTACTTGCTGGTGGAGTCAGACCCAAGTGTCTACATTCTGCGTAATAGAATTCAGCTTAACTATCACATCTAGAACATGAAGGCACGTGTTGCGGCGCCCGTGTATTTTTAAGAAAATACATTATGAAAGAATATATATATAGCATACTTACACGTGTAGAGCTTCCAAGCCCTCCATTAGTTGGGGATCCAAGATTCTTAGATCTGATAAAAATCAACATAAACCAGTTAGCAGTAAATTAATAAATACAGTCAATATAGCATATTGGGTGGGAGGGACGGAGAAACTGCGGGAGCTCCTGTTCGGCGTCTTATGCGCCCGAACAGCTCCCTGGCGTCTTTTTTTTTTTGAGACAAACTCGCAAAGCTTTTATTCACCCGTCACAAATGTTTACAGGGACGAAATCCAAATTTCTTGGGTGACCTAACCAAACATGGCGGCCAAAACCCAGGGATAACGCATACTTTGCAAGTTTGTGAGCCTCCACATTCGAGGTTCTAAACTCATGATTAATCAAACAAGAAGAAAAAACTCTAGAGTTCTCTGGATCATCAACGTTGTTGAACCGGATCGCCTGGCGCCTGAATGAATGAGATCTCTACTGGGCCGGCCCAGGCGCCTCTCAGCGAACAAGTCCATCAACTTGAAAAAATGGATATGTGCAGGAAGTCGGATTCGAACTCAACTTCAAATATCAGTGCATGAACCACTACACCATCACACGACTTGTGTTCATAGTCTTTGTTTGCTTTCTTTTATCCCTTCTCCAGCTCGCAAAGCCCCAGGTGTGGGGAAGCGTCCCAAACCATTTTTTCCTTTTTTTTCTCTTTTTCTGTAACGGTTTTATTTGCTTTTTTCCTTTCCCTTTTTCCTAAATCTGTGAAATTTTCTAAAAAAATTAAAGGAAAACATTAAAAAAAAGAAATGAACTTTTTTCAAATTTGAAAAAAGTTTATTGGTTTTTTAAGTTCATCAAAATTGAAGAAAGTTCATCGAATCTGAAAAAAAGTTCATCGAATTTTAGCAAAGTTCATCATAATTGAAAAAGTTCATCGAAATATAATAAAAGTTCATCATAATTCAAAAAAGTTCACCAAATCTAGAAAAAAAGTTCATTGATTTTTTGAAAAAAGTTCATCAAATTTGAAAAAAGTTCATCGAATTAAAAAACATCAAATTTGAAAAAAGTTCATTGACTTCAAAATGAGTTCACCGAATTTGAAAAAAGTTCATCACATTTGCAAAAAAGTTCACCGAATTAGAAAAAAATTCATCCAATTTGAAGAAAAGTTCACTACATTTGCAAAAAGTTCATCAAACTTGAAAAAATAGTTCATCAAATTTTGGAAAAAGTTTATCGAATTTGAAAAAAAGTTCATGAAATCCGGTGAACATTACGACTTATAAATAGGAAGAAATGAAAAAGGAAAAAGAAAAAGAAAAGAAGAAAGAAAAAGAAAATAAGAAACAAAAGACCTAAGAAAATGTACTTGATCACAAAATCTTATGTGGCGGGGTGGTTATCACGTGGCACGCTAAACCACTATGGCGGGGGTTCGACTCCTCAGGTACGTCTTTATTGCATCAGTTAAGAAGAGAAAGCAGGGATATTGGGCCGGCCCATCAGTTTAGAAGAGAAAGCAGAGATATTGGGCCGGCCCGCGTCGCCAGGGGGGTATGCGCCCTGTACGATTAACACTGTATCCGGCGCTGAGGGCGCCGAATAGGAACCAGCGAAACTGCGATGGGAGAGATAGCGCTCGAAATTGTATGACGTGGGCTGTTAGCAGCGAATTGGGAACAAGTGGGCCTTGCACGGCCCGATTAAGGAGAGAAAGTCCAGGTCAGTCCGTGGAGAAGCGGCCCGCGAGACGGTACGTGAGGCAAGCCGGCGAACTGGAACGACTAGCGCTAATCTAGATCGTAGATTGAAAGATCTGATGGCTAAGATAGTCAAATCATTGTGGAGGCTCCTAATTAGCTGTGTTGTACTGTTTCTCAATGCCGCCGTTGACATTCGGATTTGTCATGGTATTAGTGCACCACCCAGATTCTCCGTTAACCACTGCTTGTGACAGTTTTTCTGTTTACGTATAAAAAATTAAAGCTTAGAACTACTATCCCAAAAACATGTATCCCATATATATTTGGACTCTTCTAAGTTGTTCATTTTTTTCTCATGACTGTACCATTTGAGTTTCTTTGTAAATAGTTCAAATATTTGTTTTTTTTTTGCGGGTGAGTTCATATATTTGTTGTTGACCTGAGTGGGCATGGCAAAGCACACCTTCATGTTCTAGTGAGACGAGATGGACAATGCCTGACTTTGGGGTCGCCAACGACAGGGCACATCTTTCCTCCACTCACGCACCTGTTCGGCTCGCTAACGACAGGTCGACAGCCAGCTGGCGGGTGCTGGGTACGACATCCTAGGGTGGACTGTTGTGTCGTGCCGACCCGTGTGCCAAGCCTCATGGCCCAGATACGGCCCCTGACGTGCCGCGTGCCATGCACGGCCCATTTACCCCTTCGGTGCCAATTTCACGCCGCGTTGTGATGGGGGAAACACAAACCAACTTCATTTTGCTCAAAAACAAAAACCTCATGTGTTGTTGACAGCTCAGCTTACAAACACAATGCCAAGCACCTCATCGGTGAATCAAGACCAGGGTACATCTTCTTCCACTTGCACCTGTTGGGCTCGCCAACGACCGGGTGCCGCTGTTGGCGAGCCGCTGGCGGGTGCGGGGTTCGGCTCGTCCTAGGGTGGACTAGCTAAACGAAACCACGTAATAGTAGTGTAGATATACAACCAACCATTGCGACGGATGACGACCAGAAAACTCCCATGCAAGCATATAAATTTAAACATGCGTGAAAACACGAATTATGTACCTACGAGTAGACAAGAGTTATTCGGAAAAAAAAAAGAATAGACAAGAGTTATGGAATTATGGAAATGTACCTACGAATAGACAAGAGTTATTCGCAAAAAAATAGACAAGAGTTATGGAATTATGGAATTTGCGAAGATATGGTATGCACTATGTAGAGTTGATAGAATTTCCGTGATCCACGGTGCATGCCATACCTGTCACCAAAGGCACGTACGCACCCCTGGCGTACTATAACTATGGCATACCACGTGTGGCCGATCGGTGATCAGATCCTAGTTCTGAGACATCGAATCAACAGGGCAATGGCGTACAAGCAGATGTGGACGATGCGAGTGCTCGTCATGGCCATCGTCCTCATCGGCATCCCATGGGGCGTCGTGTGCGTGCCCGCGGGCCGCGGTGACGCTGAGGCCATGCAAGCTATCGCCAAGTCCATCGGGTGGGCCGTCCCATCATCCGACCCGTGCGACGGCACCTGGACGGGCGTGAGCTGCAACGAGATTGGCCGCGTCACCTCCATCGTCGTCACCCACGCCGGCCTCCACGGCGTTCTCAACGGTTCCGATGTAGGCAAGCTCGCGTTCCTGTCCGACCTCGACCTCAGCTTCAACGCCCTCATCGGCCACCTCCCGCTCTTGCCGACGCCACACCAGCACCTCCGCAACATCGATCTCAGCTCCAACTCCTTGACAAGAATCCCGGGCGGCTTCTTCGCCGCCCTGCCGGCCCTCGAGGCCATCGCGCTCGACGACAACGACATGCTAGTATTGTGGGAGCAGCGGGACCTTGTCACCTGCTCCGCCCACTGGTGGAAAAAAGGCCTATGGTCGCGGTTCGCAACTGCCATTAGTCGCGGTTGCGCAACCGCGACCAAATAAGCACGACTAAAGCCCCCCACCTTTAGTCGCGGCTGCTTAAGAACCGCGACTAACGGCCCGTCCACGTGGGCGCCAGGCGGCCGTCGGGGCGGAGGACCTTTAGTCGCGGTTCTTCTGGCCAACCGCGACTAAAGGCCGCCACAGGTTTAGGGTTTTAGCCCCCCCCCTAAACCTGTTTTCTGTTTAATTTGTATTGTTTTTATTTCTTTTGTGCTTTATTTTAATTTTGAAGGAGTTTCATATATTCTACGGTACTACATACATGCATATGAATGTACAATTTCAAATAAATTTGAAATTAGAACCAAAAAGAATTCAAGAGGAATATACAATATATATTCAATATCATCGGATGACCATATACAATTTTGAACAAGTTTCCATACATGATTTAATGCATATAAAGTTCTACGTCCTCGTAATAGTGTTCTCCTTTAGGATGGAGGACTTCCCTGCTGAACCATGCAGCTAGTTCCTCTTGAAGTGGTCGGAAGCGAGCTTCTGGACTAAGCATCCACCGGAGGTTATTCCTCTGAGCATTGGTATCACTCGGAACCCGCTCAGAGGTGTATCTCCGGATCATCTCACAGACATAGTATCCACATAGATTGGTCTCCGGTGGCTGAATATCCCCAGCATTCTTAGCCACTGACATTTTGAATTCTAGCTCTTTTTTGAATTCACCGACCTTTGTATCTACGAACCGTCTCCAAACCCTACGAGGCAAAGAAAATTAAATGAACAAGAGAGTTATTAGTTACTTGATATTAGGAAATGAACGAAATAGGCCGATCGATATAGAGCGCAAATGAATGAAAATAATTACTTCTGCAGCATTCTTCTCATGCCGCCCCAAAGCTTTGGATCCATATTCACAGAGTCGTGGACGAGACATTCTGAGGTGTTAACTTTAATTACTAGCAGAATCCAGTGGAACCTGCGGACACGATACATGCACAGTACGTCATGCATAACTCATCGATTAGCCGGCCACATACCATGCATGGAGTAAACAAAAGAGAATGTGCTCAAGACAGAAACACTCACCCAAAATGGTAAGGAAATAGAATATCACTTTTGAGTTCCTGCTTTGTAAGAAACTGCCACAGGTCTGCCTCCACGTCGGCGGGGTGACGCTCCAACACATGTCCATTAACGATGTGTGGGTCAATGAACCCAACATCATGGATGTTCCTTACTCTGCATTCCTTAATCTTCATTCTGCATGTATAATAGCGGACACAACAATATAGTTAGGACATATATATAGTGCAGGCAATATGAACGAGATGGGGTAGAAATTAATAAATCACTTACAGAACGTAGCAACTGATGATAGATTTATCGAGCTCGCGCAGATTGAAAAGCTGGAACAATTCACTCAGTTCAATTTGTACATAGTAATATTTGAAGTGATGCTCATGTCTAACTTCCGCATAAATATATTCTTTGGCGTTTTTATTTTTTATGTAACCCTTGTACCATTTCAGCAGACCTTTCATTTGTGGAGGTAGATCCTTTTCCTGCGCAGGCTCGACGAGAGGCCCATTCTTGACATATGTAATTACTACCTCCTTCACTGGCGCCTCATCAAGGCCTAACAGTTCACGAAGAGTAATACCTAAGTTGGCCGCTTGTTCTCTGGCACTCGTTACAGTCAATCCCTGTGCTGCCGCAGCTTGTATGATCTCGGGGGCATCCGGACAGAAGGCTTCCACTATAAGCGGGGCAATCGATTGTTTACTTTGTTCCCCGAGCTGGGCAACTTGTTTCCCGCTTTTTTTACTTTCGGCCTTCTCCCGCTCTTTGTTCTCCTTGAACATGAGTGCCTGCCTGCGAAGTTCACGTGCATAGTCGTTAGGCAGATTCTTCGCGGCTTGGGACGGTGTGCTCAAAAATGACTTAGCCCACTTCTTTTGCTCATCAGAAAATACTGGCTTGGGATCGGGCTCTGTTTTCTTCTTGCAGTCCGCCTTCCATTTCTCCAAATCAGCAGCCGCGGCCGCGTCGACTTCCTCGGCACTACGTTCCCAAGACCTTGTGGGGAGAGGCTTCAGTGATGGCTCCGGTACCTTTGTGGTCTTAGGTACATAAGGATCCGGGTTAATAATCTAGGACTGCTTCTGCTTCTTTGCCGGAGGTGGATTGGGGGGCGGCGTCTGATCACCCGCCGGACGAGGACTGGGGGGCGGCGGCTGATCACCCGCCAGACGTTGTGGACTGGGGGGCGGCGTCGGCTGACGTGACGGAGGTGTAGGTGAACCGCCACCACCACCACCACCACCACCACCGCCACCGCCACCACCACCACCGTAGGGGGGTGGACTTGTTGTCCTTGGCGCCTCGCCTGGAAACTTGATAAACTTCTTTTGCCATAGAATGAAATGGCGCTTGACATCTCCAAGTCTTTTCTCCCCTTCAGGTCTAGCAATGTCAATCTCCAGGTCCTCAAACCCTTGGACTATGTCCTCCACCGTGACACGAGCATAGCCATCTTGAATGGGGTTGTTGTGGTGGAGTGCTCCAGGTAAACATGGTAAAGCACTGCCGATGGCTACCTTCATGGACATGTTCCCGATAGGATAATACAGATGACATTCTTTCATCTCCTTTATATCGTCCACGGGGTAGCGAGGAGGCTCCGGTGCAGTAATTTCGACCACCAGAGGCTCCGGTGCAGTAATTTCGACCACCAGAGGCTCCGGTGCAGTAATTTCGATCGTCGGTGCATCTGCACCAGCCGGTGGGGCCTCCGTGGAAGCCACGCTGCTTCTCCGCTGCTGGCTTCCGAGATCCGCTGGATGATCTTCATGCTGCACCTGAGCTGCATCTCTTTCGGCTACTAGTACACTCATGGTTTTCTTCATCACATCCATTTCCGATGCCAACCGCGCCACAACATCTGCTTCCCGATCCATCTTTCTCTTACGGCTTCTGTAACCGTACGGGTCATCGTTCTGGGGGAACCCTATTTTCCACGGAATGTGCCCCATGCCTCGTACACGTCCTCCGTGTTCAAGATTCCCGAGGGCTTTTGTCAGCGCGTCGTTCTCTCTGTTGAACTTGATCTTCCCCTGTTGAGCATCCCTCATTGCGTTAATAAGGGCTTGGGTGGGTTTAATTAATTTGCCCCGGTAAACACACTCCCCTGTCTCCGGGTTCAGCGTTCCCCCATGCCCGTACCACCAGCTTTTGGCCCTTGGGTCCCATCCCTCCGTACCTGGACGGATTCCTCGCGCCCTCAGCTCGTTCTCCATCTTCTCCAACCTAGGCACCCAAATGCGATACCCTCCTGGCCCCATAACATGATTGTACTCCTTCTTAGCCGCATTTTCCTTATTTTTTTTCGATATTTGAATGAACTGCTCCGATTTCTTTTGCTTCACAAATTCTGGCCAATCATGTTTCAGTTTCTCATATTGTCCTTTGAAGTTCGGAGTCTTGTTCTGCTTGACAAAGTCATGGGCTAGATTTTGCTTGAATTTCCGGAATGCGTCGGCCATCTTATGAAGAGCGAACTGTTTGACTAGCCTCCTCCTCTCCTTGTTTTCCTCAATCTTGTTACCCTCCTCATCGAATTTGTTGTATTCCGGAGGTAGAACGAAATGTTCCATAAGCTTTTTAAAGCAATCTTTTTTTGTTCTCTTATCGACGAAAGTGAAACCAGCGCTTCGTTCCTTCTTTGGCTTATTCCACTCCTGGACGGTGATCGAGACGTTGTCTCTAACAATGGCTCCGCATTGGTTGACAAACTTGGTGGCGTTCTTGCGGGGCTCCAGCGGCCTGCCGGTTGCACTGTCGACAACCTCGATGGTGCATGTTTCTCCTTGTTTCATCGTCTTGGTTGCGCCACGCTTTGACGACGTACTCGATTGTTTCGACGATCCGGCCGAGGGCTAAAATAAGAAAGAGAGTCGCGCGCGTTAGTCCACACATATTTATTCAAATCAGTTAGTCCACACATATATACCTCGGCGCCGGAGGTGATTGCTACTTCCATTTGAAGATCGTCGTTTATCGACGTTTGTTCGGCATCATCTTGCTGACGGCGCCCTTCATCTTCACCGTCAAGGTTCAGATAAGAAGAGATATCATCTTCTTCTTGTCCGGTCGGCACATATAGAATATCGCCGTTTATGATGCCGAACATATGTGCTTCACCGTCCGGATTATAGTTGTCCATAATCGGGTCAGCTCTATCGTCCGCCATTATGTCAGTCCTGAAAACATGTAGTAAAAACAAATTAATTAAGTGAAGAAGGGGGGCGGTGGCGGTGGCGGTGGCGAAAGGGCGGTGGCAAAAGGAGGGGGCGAGGAAGGGGTGGGAGAGGGTGTCGCGGTAGAGCGCGAGACGGGGCGGCAGACGACGGCGTCACGGAGAGGGGAGGCGAGGACAACATATTTATAACCCTCGCCGTCCCCTCTCGATCCCTAAAAAAACACCGCGCGCATCGCCGCCCCCTCTCCGTATATACGTTTTTTTTGTTAATTATCAAATTTTACGGTTTTTTTGTTAATTATCAAGTTTTAAGTTATTTACCGTTTTTGTTAAACTAAGTTATTTACCGTTTTTGTTAATTATCAAATTTTACCGTTTTTTTGTTAATTAACTAGTTAAAAAATTCTCTCTCTCTCTCTCTC